CAACATTTCAATGGTCTACTTTTCAAAATGTATACTATTCATTGCCTGTGATAATTACCTGATGCAGTACCAGCTTCGAAAAGTCGTGAGTAAACAATAATGAGCCTGTTTATGGAGCTGGCATCCGTTAACACAGCATCGAACATTTCCATTCTCCAGCATTTTTTAAAAAGTGAGGTTATTGTCAACCCACGTTTCATCTAAAAAGAAAATATTTCGATCGTCTAGTCTATATTGATGTATTTTTCTCAAATATTGTCCGAGCAAATACGACAGCTGGCCTTTCCACCAAAATTTATTATGTCACTTTAGCCCTTTATATCCCATGTCTTTTAATAATTTTCTTAAACTTGTCGTTCCCCATGGATATTCATTTTTTTCTATAACAGCTGCCGGCAGTTTAGAACAAGTAGGGACAATTTATTTACTGCTATAGTTAGTTATTATTACACTTCTATCAAAATCATCGACGTATAAATTTTTGCTTTTACACAATCTCCCTTTTTTAGAAGGCGAACGAAGATGTCCTTCTTTAGCTTCTTTTTTAATTTCAGCTAATGTTCTTTTAGATAGTCCGGTATAACCGCTCGCTCGGCCGAAGGAATTGCTCACAGGCAAGGTCAAAAAGTTGTTCTGCCTTTTTTCAGTACACATATCCAGAACTTTTTACGCCATTTCCCGTGCTTGACGATGAACAAAGAAACGTTTTTGAAACGGTTTTGAAAGAAACGACAAGGATCAGTCATTTTCAAAAATAACACGAGACGTCACTAGATTACATTATGGATAAGCGTATGACAGATGTCAAGGACAGCACTACACCGAGGGTGTACGAAGCGCGACGTGCGGACGGCGGGGGCAGACACTACCACCCCTCACCTCAGAACCCGACTGCATTCAACTCGCGCGCGTACTAGTACATATTGCTCTTAGTGTATTTGTTGAGATTTCTTTTTAACATAATAATCTTTTATATAAATTTTCTTTTACAATAATATAATCTATTAAATATATTATCTGTATTATGTGTTAAATATTATACACATGTATATTATTAATTGGGTATCCCTATCATCTAAGTATTCATGGTCTGTATAGTAATTTTTAGCCATTAAACATGTTTTTAACTCTTTTATAAATTTTGTTTCGCTTGTTTCTGTGTTTATTAGTTTTGGTAATTTATAAAATAATATTAATTAATTACTTTTTTCGAATTCTGGATATCCGGTTGAAAGAAAATCCTCTCTATATTCGATTTATGAATATACATTGCCATACATGAGCAAGGCTGTCAAAATTGGCACTTTTTCGTCGTGTAGCGTCATCGAGTATATAACCAGAAATAGAGACGAAATAAGGGCCACATATTCCTGGTAAAACATTAGCGATACAGCTCCTATAAATATCAACTCCCGTTTGCACTGAAATATAGACAGGCCAAATACTGAGCTGTGTGTACGTCTCCGTATATTCCAAAAAATATTATGTATTTATTGTAATAAAACAATAAAAACAAAACAATAAAAAGAAAAACATATAATTACAAAACAAATGGAATCACATTTCATCGGTAATTAAATATTAAACATGTAATTTTGCAATTTTTGTCCATTATAGCAAAGCTCAAGTTAACTGGTCGATTTGAAGTGAAACAATTGACGACACCCGTCAATTGTTTCGAACTCGGGCTGACCAATTGGAGCGCAGTTGTCGCAGTAATGATTTGGCAGAATAGTTTTCAAACAAATTAAATGACATTTCGTCTCTTTTTCTGGTTATATACTCGATGTGTGGCGTTTAGCATTTTTTTTTTAATAAAAAGTATTAACATAATACAGTATGAACATTTTCCTTTTAAAAGGCGACATTTCTGCTAGTGATTCGAATTTATGAACATCTGTTATACTGTGTTTTTGAATTTAAATAAAATATTTTTAGAGCGCGATCACGATTCTCGTGCAAACTAAAATGTCCTAAAATTTCCCCTTGTAAATAATATTTTAAATTAATTTGTTTTCTTAAGTTCTACTAGGAAATATCGCCGTTCTGTCAATGTTACCGTCAATATGCGGTATCTAAAACTAGTGTGGAGTGGAGAGTGACCATTCTAGTTAATTTTTTATTCTCCGTTTTGGTACAAGGTCCATGCTATGTGGGTTTTCTTATTATGTTATTCCCATTTTTTTCCAAGCTCTAAGGTTTTAATGGTTACATTTTTTACATGAATTAATTTTTAGTTTACGTATATTACGTTTTGCGTTTCTGAATTATTTGTTACCATTAAGCTGATGGCTCTGAAGCCAATGCTTTATAAATAAAAAAATAAAAAAATTGTGTTATTCCAACTCATTGCGATTAATTTAGCTTTAAAACACTCGATATTTATTTTATTGTAAATTCTTTTTTCAGTGCACCACGTTACGTTTTTGTTTGGTTCCGGTAATTTTATTTGTATAGGAATTCCGAAGTGATCTGATAAACCTAAATCCTGTACCGTCATTTTAAAATTTGTATTGTTAAAATTTGTAAATATCAAATCTGGATGCGTTGACGCGGTTCGTGTAATGTGTGTAGGTGTTTTTATGTGGTTTGTAAAGTTGTATTCCAACATGAGATCTAAGAATTGTTTAGCTTTTAAATTATGTTTTTAAATGTCTACATTAAAATCATGGTCACTATTATCCTTCACTCTTGAATACATGTTGTAAAGGGATTTGGCATGGTGTTTTATGACTGGCCGCCTGCCTGACATGTAGTGCTGTCCTTGACATCCGTCATACGCTTATCGATAATGTACTCTAGTAACGTCTCGTGTTATTTTTAAAAATGACTGATCCGTCGTTTCTTTGAAAACCATTTGAAAAACGTTTCCATGTTCATCGCCAAGCACGGGAAATGGCGTAAAAGTTCTGGAAATCGCTTCTTGCGTGTTTGACATAAATAAGCATAAGCATAAATCCCTAAGACCTAAATCCCTAAACTATGGAAACCAAAGGACATGTTATATTGACATATATAAATCAGACGTTATATGTATATGATGCATTTAGACGTTGAAAACATAAACATTTTAGTGTCTTTGTTTAACTACTGCGTGCCGTCGTAAGCCAAAAGAGATAGCACTACATTGATTTATGTCAAACACGAGAATCAAAAATACGTAACGTCATCTTAAATGCCAATTGTCCTCATTTTGCCAAATTTGTAGTACCCTTGATAACCGTTTCCGGTTGTCAAAGGCAAGTACATCAAATGTCAAAACCAATGTTTGGCCAAATGTTTTAATGAATTATTCGCATGAATTGTAATGAAATGGACAAAAAAGGAAGGATTAAGTAGGAACAATTAAGTGTGGATAAAAATGCGTCGCTGCATCATTAAAGAGTGCGGCAGCAGAAAAAGCGGAAATCAACCGAATGTTACATTACACCAGCATGTGTTATTTTTCTGCCTATAAATCATACTATAGCCCAAATATCTTATGTAATTAGACTCATTTAAGTAGTTTATTCGTCTTGCCGAATTTTGGTTTAGTTACCTTAAATTGCCTGTTTGTCAGTATATTTTGATGATTGTTGATAACGATTATTTTGAGATAGTGTTATTCTTGTAATCAGACATATTATCGATATTCTGTTATTAAAACGATTCACTACGAGTTTTTTTATCATGTCATTATTATTATTTTTAAAGTTTACCTACAAATGGAAAAAGAAAGAAAGAATGGTTGGAAATTATAGGACTGCCGAACATAATTGAATTGAATTGCAGAACCGCATTGAATCAAATACCATCTTCGTTTGTTCGCTCCATTTTGAAGAGTCAAATGTCAAATTAAGAACTTTGAATGTGACTAGATTATCTACATGATAATGCAATCGTTACATTTATTGGTAAATAACCTTATATTTAATTTTGATTGAAATTGCTCATTACTTGCCTAGTAATAATATCCCAATATTAGTCATACTTTTATTACAGTAAAGTAGTGTACAAATTTGCAAACATAAAACATACATTTGCAAGTCGATATTGACTTATCTATTATTATGGTACAACACTAAATCCGCGTTTGTTCCGTAGATAGGGCGGCTCCTGTCCTTTATTTTTTCCACCCTCATTCATTCATTCATTTCCATTCCTCTAGTCTAAGGCTAAATCAGCGTATTGACATTTTACGAAGAAAAGCTTTAGGTGCCAAATAATCGAAAGTTACGAAAATGCAAAAGCGTTGTTTTTTTTTTCTTATTTCTTTTGGCTTTTCGCGGTAAGCGTTTTAGCCGCTTACAAAGTGTTTTGACTCGTGGAATGTAATTTGGAAACGGGATTTGAAAGTTGGAGAAAAAGTGGAGGGAGGAATTATGAGATGTAAATAAACATGGTATAAATATAGAATAAATAGGTATTATTACAGCAGTTAAATTTGTATATTACTTTCTAAAATAAATTTAGATAAATAAGTATATATAGAAGAGTTATTGGACAACAACTAATTCCCTGCCTGCAGACTTGTTCCCTGTACTTTATAACTTGGACCTTTTCAAGGCGAGAGTGAATAGGCATTATTTAGGTGTGCATGCATCTGTGGCCTCGGATTAGTGATGCGACGGAAGTGTTATTATAACGGAAACAGATGTCAAATGTAAAACTTAACTGAAACGGAAACAGAAACGGACGCGGCTACAGAAGTGTAAATTTGATTAGTATTTTATAGAAAGATTTCAACGAAATAGTTCCAAACTGTATTTGTTTTTTGTTTCATAATTACACGTAACTGCTAAAAAACGCGCCCTGCCCCGCCTAACAAAATGCGCGCGCACCTGAAATCCATCACGAACATTATAAACATCCGATTAAAGTCCTATTATAAAAGTTGCAAGCAGAAACGGAAACAGATATGAAAAAGCGTGCGGGAGCAGAAGCAGAGGTCTGTTGCATTACTCTTAGAGTCGATTATGTAGGATGAGTCAAGATTTTGAAAAATAAAAGACATTATTTGAATTATTTTTAATTTGAATACTACGTTGTACTTAGTGCCTTCATGGCCAGAACCTTCACGGTTGCTCTTTCTACTACTGGTTGTCTTCGGCACTTTGTACCGCCAAAGGGTCATCCCCGTTATCGTTATCATGGAATTCGGATGCATCAGCGTGATTTAAGTCCTCGGGTTCACCGCCTTCCGTGTCGTCATCACTTGTCCGATCGTCCATATCGTCGTCAGCGGTTGACGCGGTATCGGGGAAGTCATGTAACGATTCTACTTCTGCCGACCCAGTACCAGCATCAGCGTCACCATCACCACCAGATTCATATTCGTGGACGATGGAGAACATTTTCGCTAACTCCTGAGGATCGCCTGGTTCCTGGTGACAAAAAAATAATACAATTCAAAGTAATTATAACACTCGCCAACAACGTGAGGCGTAGGATTTCTATTGATCTCTGTTTATCGTTGTTGATCTCTTTGATTTCTGTTTATCGTTCTTCTTCTTGTCGTATCGATGACATACATTATAGTAATAGTAGCCGCCATTAAATCCTCAAGCGTGCAGGTGTTAGCGCACGCAGGGCACGACATGAGGTGGGCCATCGTTTGAGTCGTACTTCACAAGCAGTCCAGGTTAGAACCATCCGAAAATCCCCACCTGAACAAATTGTCCTTGTGTCCGACCAACCTGAGTTCGAAGCCTATTCAAAGACGTCCAGATCGGCCATGGCAATTCATGTCCAGAAGGAAGACTCCAGAAGGCGGGACAAACGTAGATGGTACGCGTTCGCGTCAAAGGTGCACCTCGCCTGAGCCGGCTCAATGCTCAGTGGATTGACACATTTGACAAACTTTTCCAGCTCCTCAGTTTACGTTGATTCCTAGCCGAATATTTAACGGCGAATGCCTTTTTAAAATTTTAAATGTATCTTTTAAATCATAGGTTCCCAAACTTTTTGGCTCACCTAGGCAAGATAAAAAAATTTCAACACCCACCACAACAAAAAATAATTGAGTACACCATTGACTTACAATTATAGAGTACACGTATTTTTTATATTAACTAAACACAAAAAGTTCCAAGAGAAAAATATGTAAGTAGTGTACTTTATATAGATAATTCAGGTTTTTTTTTCAAATGCAGTAGCACCTCCTGGACAGCACCAACGCCCCCAATTGCTTCCGAGGCCTCTACCGCACCCCCTAAGACTCTTCAGCGTCCACTGGGGTAGAGACCACTTTGGGAAACTATGTTTTAGACCGTGAAGAGACGAGACCCAAAAAAGATCACCGATAATAATAATAATAATAAAGAGAAAGTTAAAATTGAAATATACAGACTTGCTGCTCATTCACACCGCAAATTATCTTTTGAGATACCAAGTGTCGAGACAAACTGATTGTCAAGATCTGAGCACTGGCACTGGCACTGGCACTGCCACTGCGCCCGTCACCCAGAGACATAAGTTGAAAAGTCCCAGGTCTCTACTGCCTACAAAACTATTATTATTATAAACGTATTAAATTTTTACGAGAATAGAGATTTGTATTAGAAAATTTTCATGTTCTTCCTTTTCACTTAAAATAATTATTATATGTTTACGGCACACCCCGTGTAATACTACCTTGTCTTTCTTAATGCAGTTTTCTACCCCTTTTACAGTTAGGCAGATTTTCTGATGATGGTAAATGACCTGGAAACAGAAACATGTAAATTCGAAATAGTTGAAATCTAAATTCAGAATAAAGATTGGCACTTCCACTGAAATGTACCTATAGGTACACGTTTCATGCGGAAGTCAAACATTGCATGCATAGTACAAAATATATTTCAAGCCGGAAGGCATTGACTTACAATTATATGGACGTCGGGTCCGCGCTAAAGTGTCCAAACTTATAGGGCGTTAAAATCGTATACAGAGCGTCATTCGTTTGTTCGACTGACAGCGAAGCAAGCAAAATTAGACAGTACTGCGATGACATTACAATTTAAATTCAACGTTTTAGCTTTTTCATATTCCTTTACATGTCACTACGTTTAAATAGGTTGACTTGGGACATTTTTTTCGTGGTTTTTGTATTAGACCCGTCGTCCATTTATTTGTAAGTCAATGCCGGAAGGAGAGAATGTCAATGCCACCACACCATGCTGTTTTCGTCCTACATACTAGTTTCTATAGTTTATATTATTTATTAAATAAATATTTATTAAATAAAAGTAAGGCAAATACAATCTTTCGTTTGAATTCTTTCACTCATATGTTTTATTACATCAAGTTCGTTCTTATCTAGTACGAATACAATTATCTCACCTTTGCTTGATCTAATGGTAGAGTCCATACTACTTTTCGGGAATTCTGGAAAATTTCAATCTCTGTTGGAATTACATGGAATTGACGTGAAGTCTGAAATTCTATGTTTATTATGTTTCAGCGTAAATATTTCATTTCGTTTTGTTTAATTTATAAAAAACAAAAGGCTATTTTATTAACCGACTTCAAAAAAGGGAGGTTCTCAATACGGTTGTGTGTTTTTTCTTTATTTTTGTATGTATGTTACGCGATAACTCCGGCCGGTATTACGACTATGAACTGGCAACCTAACCTAAAATAAAAAACTAACCTAGATTTTGCCAACTACCAAGAACAGGATGAAGAAAAAAATTTATATATAGGGTGCTCTATATAAGTTTAAGTGCACCAAACCGGATTCTTCCCCTAGTTTTCCAACCTTAGAGATGGAATATTTCCTTCAAGCATCTACCCTGTTCCCAAAAATCAACAAAATCGGTTCACAAATACCGCCTGAGTTATCGCGTAACATGCATACAAAATATTCTCAGTACAGAGAACTAAACATACCGAAATCCCCTAGTTTGCCACTCTTAGGTAGGGAATATTTTCTTCAACTTTAAATGAGACCACTTCTGAGGTATCCTCTTTCCAAAAAAAAGAATCATCAAAATCGGTTCACAAATGCCGAGTTATGGCGTAACATACATACAAAAATAAAACAAAACATACAGTATTGAGAACCTCCTTCTTTTTTTTAAGTCGCTTAAAACACAGGAATTTCGACGAGTCGATATCTAACTTGACCTGTAGCTCAGTTAGTATAGAGCAATGCTACGGTACAGCGTGGTCATGGGTTCGAATCTCTTCGGGTCGAAGAAATGTGTTTCGATCTTTGTGTTAATAGTCTTAAATAACAAAACTAGGTGAGTTATTTCACAGAAAAAATCTTAATAATTAAAAGTGTAAAACCCAGCGTGCTTTTGATTGTGCTGTACTCACTGCGGCACTCCATAGGCAAGTCAGTGCTGTTAGAAAAAGATATATTTTCATTTCCAATGTTTTGCCGGGTGGAACGTTCAGGTCTTAATGGTCGCGAACGATTAGTAACAATTAAAATTGTCAATCAAACAATGGAATTGTAGTCATTATAAAAATCATCCTCGATTCAACAGACAAATCGATTAACGGCCGATTTGGAAATAATCGATTTTTTAATTTTTCGATTATATTCCGTAATTAACTGTTAAAGTTTGTTAGGTAACGTGTAAAGCAATATAAAAGCGAACTATAAATGGAAACTTTGCTCATGGACACATTTTGAGGAACTCTAAGAGCGGTTACACACGGCGAGATTAAACAGCGATACAAACGCCGTACATCGCTACGCCATTGCATCGATGCAGTCGGGCGTTTGCCTATAAAACGGCCCATTCAACTACTATCCTGCGTATGGCTCAAGGATTGCAAGATGGCTTGCACTCTGCTACTACATTCATAATTCTGGATTATACGGCGGATGGCAAGGTGGACTGCAATGCGGAATAATGTATGCCCCCTTTAAATCGCAAGTGTAGCGATGCAATCGCGAGTTTCTCGAACGCGCGTTTGCATCGCTGCAAAAACTCGCCGTGTGTAACCAATCTTAAAACAGGTTGAATTATGATAACAACGTTCATATGAAAACCAGCTAGGCCAGAACGTTTAATCGAAATCCGAAGACAATTGAAGCCATTCTTTTTTCAAATTAAACGTTGTGTTATACACGGGCATCGAGTACATAACCAACTCGATGTACATGGGGCACCATCGAGTATATAACCAGAAATAGAGACGAAATAAGGGCCATCCATCCCTGACAATTCATCAGCCAAATGGACCTTATACCACTTTTAAATATTAACTCTCGTTTGCGCTGAGGTCACAAATTAGAAAACTGAAATTGTACAGGAGTGTACGTACTTCTCCGTATATTCCAAAAATATTCTGTATGTATTGTACCTAATAAAGGTAATATCTCTAAAAATGGGGGGCTGTTCCATTCGGTGGTATGGGGAAAACAGCAAAACATCTAATTACAAAACAAAAGCAATCACATTTCATCGGTAATTAAATATTGAATTTGTAATTTTTCAATTTTAGTCACAATAGCAAAGCTCAAGTTAAACTGGTCGATTTGAAGTGAAACAATTGACGACACCCGTCCATTGTTTCGAATTCGGACTGGCCAATCGGAGCGCAGTTGTCACCGTAATGATTTGGCAGAATAGTTTTCAAACAAATTAAATGACATTTCGTCTCTATTTTTGGTTATATACACTATGTGGGGCACTGATAGCAAGAACGGTGTAACCTCATTGCCGCGCAATGGAGATATTCGACTTAAATAAACGAAATAATGAATGACATAGGAATGAATGAATTAAATATTCTTTATTGCACATAAAGTTACAGTTAAAGTACAATACAGTAACTTAGGTATAACGATAGTAAGATAAAGTGCAACAGGTGGCCTTATTGCTATGTAGCAATTTCTTCCAGACAACCTTAGGATAGAAATTTTTGATATGTAAAAGGAGTGCAACCAAAGAATACCATTATAAGTACATTACATAATAATTATTAACAATCTCATATATGTATGTACTATAATAGAATCCGCGCCTCCACCATTTATAATAGAGGGCTGTAGCT